AGCTCCGTGATAAATCAGGAGGTAAGCCTGTTAATACCTCTCCTGTTGCTGCTGCCTTCCAACACTTGATATGTGACACAAATGACAAACTGCCGCAAACATACTTCTTCATGAACGACTTTCCTACCATGAGTGGGAGCACATCTTCACGTCTTTCTGTCACAAACTGCTGTACTCACTAACTCTTCCCTACGAACAACAAAATACCTGTCTTCCCCTCACCTACATTTAGTAAAAACAAAAATGTCTACTACAACAGGTATTTTTATGAAGTGATTCCATTTTTTTGTCGTACTCAAATTTCTACGACATTTTCTGGGAGGATTTGATCGCTATGACGTACTCTAAAGATAACACAAATTATTATGAAGAGGGAGGCAACAGGTGTGTGAGAGAAGGTGTATAGGTGAGGTAATAATCTATGAAAAGAAGACTAGTATTTTCTCTATCACCACAAAACGTCAATCCATCTATCTATCTATCTATCTATCTATATATCCATCCATCTATACCTATCTATCTATCTATCTATCTATCTATCTATCTATCTATCTATATATCCATCCATCTATACCTATCTATCTAACTATCTATCTTGAACGTGTGTGCATTTGTGGTGTTCCCCGCCACATAAACCCTTAACGAAGTCTACACCACAGCAGGGAGAGGGAGTGAGGGAGAGAAGGGGGGGAAAAGAGGAGGGGAGAAAGGAGGGAGAGGGAAGAAAGGAGGGAGAGGGAAGAAAGGAGGGAGAGGGAAGAAAGGAGGAAGGAAGAAAGGAGGGAGAGGGGCAGGGAGGAGAGGGGAGAAAGGAGGAGAGGAAGAAAGGAGGGATACAAGAAAGGAGGGAGAGGGGAAGAAAGGAGGGAGAGGGAGAAAGGAGGAGAAGGAAGAAAGGAGGGAGGGAAGAAAGGAGGGAGAATAAGAAAGAGGGAGAGGGAAGAAAGGAGGAGAAGGAAGAAAGGGAGGGAGAGGGAAGAAAGGAGGAGAGGGGAGAAAGGGAGGAGAGGGAAGAAAGGAGGGGAGAGGGAAGAAAGGAGGAGAAGGGAAGAAAAGGAGGGGAGGGAAGAAAGGAGGGAGAGGGAGAAAGGAGGGAGAGGGCGAAAAGGAGGGAGAAGGAAGAAAGGAGGGAGAGAGGAAGAAAGGGGTGGGGAGAGGGAGAAGGAGGAGAGGGAAGAAAAGGGAGGGAGAAGGAAGAAAGGAGGGAGAGGAAGAAAGGAGGGAGGGAAGAAAGGAGGAGAGGGAAGAAAGGAGAGAGGAAGAAAGGAGAGAGAGGAAGAAAGCAGAGAGAGGGAAGCAGGAGAGAGAGGAAGAGGCAAAAGAAGGAAAGATGGGAAGAAGAGAAACAAAGAATGAAAGGAATGAAGAAGGAAAGAGGAGGAAGGAGAAAAGGAATGAAGGAAGGAGGAGAGAGGAAGGAGGAGGAGAGTGAGAATACACCAGTTCCTAATCACCCACACCATCCACCACATTACTGAAAGAACACCTCACTAACACTTAATTTATTGCCCCAGCGTAAAAAAAAAAAAAAAAAAAAAAAAAAAAACCTGTGGTCGCTCCTTGTGACTAGTGTACGGGCCTTCATTTTACGGCGGCCAGGGAAGCCATATTTGCCGTGACGCCAATACAAAGGCCTCATGTCATGCCGCCAAAGCCACTTGCATTTAGGAGGAAAATTATTACAAAATACGTCCCTTTTTTTCGTTGGGCATTTTCTACCTCACCTCCCAACCCCCCCCCTACCCCCCTCCGAACCCCCTCCTGGCCACCTACCTGGAATGGCCACCATGGACGAGTTCATTAACGGGGGACAAGTTTACCTGCAGCCTTAACATAGATGTGACGGGGTACACTCCTTGGGTGACGGGGTACACTTCTTGGGTGACGGGGTACACTTCTTGGGTGACGGGGTACACTTCTTGGGTGACGGGGTACACTTCTTGGGTGACGGGGTACACTTCTTGGGTGACGGGGTACACTCCTTGGGTGACGGGGTACACTCCTAAGGTGATGGGGTACACTCTTGGGTGACGGGGTACCTCCAGATAGTACCAGTACCAATAGAATGTCAAAATACAGTATAATACAATGTCACAGAAATGCACTCACGCGATTTCTTTACCCACAAGAGACAAAGCTCACCTTCCGTTTACGCTATCTTCACTATGTTAGGTGACCGTCACTACTCTGCCCACACCTGCTGGATAGGATCTCTCCAAAATAAAGCTAGAACGAGTTTGTGGAGATGAACCAAACTTTTGTAGGATTTGAGTCCGACAAAAAAAAAAAATCCACATGATAAACTTTTAGTATAAATCCCGCGCCCAAAATCGATCAAGGGTTTTCGTGGGTGTCAAAGAAAACGATGATACGAGACAGTTTTCAGGGGTTACTATATTAATTTACAGTAAAGGCGTCATAACTCTTGGTATTTATCTTACCATGGTATAGGTTAGCGAGCAGAGGTGTTTGAAAGGTTTTATTATTATTATTATTATTCCCGTGTGTCTTATTATCCTTTCTGTTGCTATGGGGTTTCTCTTCTTACCTGTTATTCCTGATTCTCCTACACCTCTTCTCCATTACATCTCTTCCTCTTCTTATTATTTATCTTCCTTAATTCCCCTGACGGATAATTCCACTATTTTCCTCCCTATATTTTCTTCTCTTTCCCTCTCACTCTATATAATCTTGACCCCGCCATCTGTCTTGCTCTTGTATAATCTTTCCCACTCTTTAACGGGTTCTCATAGTCTTCCTCACTGTATTAACGATATTCCTCATAACCATTATTGTTATGGATACTGTTGTTATTATTATTATTATTATTATTATTATTATTATTATTATCGTTTTTGTTAACTGTGTTGTCGTTATCATCATTATTATTATTATTATTATTATTATTATTATTATTATTAAACATTATTTCTTTATGAATCAACAATCAAATTAAGGTGCGCTCGGATTTCTAGGTAAGAAGTAGAATGGTGAAAGTGGTCCTGGTGAGTGGTCCTAGCGAGTGTGGTCCTGGTGAGTGGTCGTAGTAAGAGTGGTCCTGGTGAGTGTGGTCCAAGTGAGTGGTCCTGGTGAGAGTGGTCCAGGTGAGTGGTCCTGGCGAGAGTGGCCCTGGCGAGAGTGGTCCAGGTGAGTGGTCCTGGCGAGAGTGGTCCTGCATGGTGAGAGTCATGGCTGGAGAGGGCCAGGCAGACCACGGCCCCACACCACAGCTTTAATTCTGTGCTTGCTGACACACACACACACACACACACACACACACACACACACACACACACACACACCACCCTCACTCTCCCTCAGCACTTTCCCTACCAGAGAGGGAAAGGAAATGAGCGTCATATGCAGGAATTTCGCTGATATGATGCGAGTGAACAGCAGGAGGGTGAAAAGCCCTCCCCAAGACCAACCCCTTGACTCTCTCTCCCCTACTATCACTTTCCCCCCGCAACCACAACTACCTCCCCACCAGCTCCCGTCTTACTTCCAACCACCACCCCTTCCCCACCACAAAAACCACTTCCCACCAACACCCACTTCCTAACACCACCACTACCACCACCCACTGAACAAATACCACCCCACCACCACCTTCGTCGACGCCTTCCCCAGGAGTCACATACAACAGAGCCTACCTACCAACCCAACCCTGAACTCACTCAAGTCACCTTAATATTGTGTCTTAAAATAAATACAATACGGTAATAAATTAATAAACAAATATTCTAATAAATCAAGAAAAAACTAAATAATAACCAATAAGTAAAACAGCATCTGATAAATAACAATAATTCAACAATAGAATATGGAAAAACAAAATATTAAATACAAAAAAAACAACAGCATTCAGGTGTTTTTTATTAAACACATACACACACCTGTAGATAAAATAACAATGAAAACAGATAAACAATAACAATGGGAGAATAACGAGGCAGGTTCACAGCTCCAACCTATTACAGTACAATATTAACTCCTAAACAATTGACCTTTGACCCCTTTTGACCCTTAACAACGAGGTCACATTATCCCTATAACCTTAGATATCGACTCAATTAACATGCTAATGAAAAATCTAATGACAGGTAACTTTTACAACAGGTGAGGAGGTATGGGTGCTCAAACTAGCTCAACCAATATCACTACCAAACACGACCATAACCCAAACAACCACAATTTCAGAGTGTTGTTGTTGTTGAAGAATAAATAAAGCCAGAATGAGAAAACATCAGTCACACGAGAAGTCTGTTTGTCTGTCATGGTTTAGCACACACACACACACACACACACACACACACACACACACACACACACACACATCCCATTGTTCTCCCAGGCTCTCAGCAACACAATAATGATATCCTCACGCAGATGAAATTTCCACACGGGATTGCTGATAAAAAAAAGCAAAAAAAAACACACAAAAACACGACATTTTATCTCACCTGTGTTAAAAAGCTGTCGTCCCCATTAATAAATGCTTAATGAGTCAAACTATTAAAGGTAATTCCCTCTTGACCATCATTACAGTTATTAACAGGTGGAGGTGACTCCCTAATGATGCGGTAATGATATACACTAAACAGGTAATTTATTAATGGAAGTTGTCATGTCACCTGGTCCTAACACTGTCACCTGTTAATTAGTCATTTACCTGTTTCTTGATTAGTTATAACCAAGACGTGAATCAGGAACAGTCGAGAGTGAGAATCAAGAAAAGACGGAAATAACGCGAATGTTTTGTGTGTGTGTGTGTGTGTGTGTGTGTGTGTGTGTGTGTGTGTGTGTGTGTGTGTGTGTGGGTGTGGGTGTGTGTGTGTGTGTGTGTTCTCAAGGCTGACAAATAACACTGAGATTGGAGGGAGATGATGTATGTGGATATTAGTGTGCAACCGTCCATATCTTAATGTGAGTGTGGTGGATGAGGGTGAGGTAGGTGTGGGTGGTGTGGGTGTTTCAGGTATGGGTGTAGGGGGTCTTACCTGTAGTTCTGGAGGGCCTCCTTCATCACGGATAAGGAGCAGGTAACTTTGACCATCCAGGACGATCTCCTTCTTGAACCGGCCGCCCTCGGGACTCTCCTCCTGCATGTAGGACCCCGTCAGGTATCTGCAACACCACAGGATTTTGGTTCAAGGAGGACCTCTTCACCACGTGTACCTCCCTGTCTCAGATTTCAAGGCAAGACTCACCAATAAAAAATAATCAAGGTAAGACTCACCCCTTTATACGAGTACTCAAACAGCTCAGTAGAGAAATGAAGACTCATCTCTTATAATACAATCACGTGAACAGTGGAGCCACTTGGGGAGCCTCTGGGGAGCCTCCAGGAAGAACAAGCTCCACTGCACAACAATTCATGCTCCCTAACGGTGTCTAGCTGCCCACCAATTATTTTTCACCTCATCCAAAAATTCAGCTTCATTGTCTCATAAACTTCAATACTTACGGGGGGAAAGGGATCCCGTGATTTCTGTGTGGTCACCATATAGTAAAATGACCAAAGATGCCAGAAATAAGACTGAATTAGACTGACTTAGTTACAGGGTAAAGACTGAACTAGACTGACTCAGTTATAGGGTAAGACTGAACTAGACTGACGTACTTATAGGGCAAGACTGAACTAGACTGACGTAGTTACAGGACAAGACCAAACTAGACTGACTTATAGTTACAGGGTAAAAACTGAACTATGAAGACTGTATCACTATCAGTCTTTAGCCTGAACCTGTGAACCTGAAACACACACGCACACTGACATAGACAAGACCTGTGACCTGAGATACAACTGACCTGTGGACGAGGGCGGACTTGCCAGAGGAGAGCGACCCGACGATACCCAAACGCAGGTCAGGGACGCCTCTCGACAACGTCCATTCCTGAGAGTTAACGAACGAGTCTGAAACACAAGAAAAAAAAACACAACTCACATTAGTCTCACCAACACAAAACACACACACACAAAAACACATTAAATAACCAACTTAAGTCACCTTGGATTTATGAAAGACTAATTCGAAAATAGATTAAGTTAAGTTTATCAGTATAACATGAAATAACAATCTGAAACAACAATACCTAAATTATTTCAGTGTACAATATGAAACACTATATTGAAACACAAGGAACGGTACAATATGAAACACAAGAGACACCCACGTCAGTCACACAACGCAACACTGACGGGCCTGACTGAAACACTTAAGTAAAATGGCGCAGTTGTCGGAACACTCTTGTGAAATGATACCACAGGAGAGAGAGAGAGAGAGAGAGAGAGAGAGAGAGAGAGAGAGAGAGAGAGAGAGAGAGAGAGAGAGAGAGAGAGAGAGACTATTTTACTTCTCGTAAATAATGATAATGAGAGACGCAGTATGTGATCTAAGGCTCTCACCTCTACTACCCACTCCACTTCTCCCTCTCACTCCACTCCTCCCTCTCACTTCACTCCTCCCTCACTCCACTTACCCCACACAACCCACCCCTCCCACTCACTCCACCACCCACAACCCATCCCATCAACCATCTGTAACCCATTCATACTACACGCACCCCATTATCCACCCTCGGACATCCATCACCCACCCCAGCCCACCCACCACCCACTTCATCTACCAGCCCCTTCCCTCGCCTTACAAATGTTAGCAATAAAAATCCTGCACAAGGGAAAAACCTTTGTCCACACACACACACACACACACACACACACACACACACACACACACACACACACACAGTAGGTGAGTATGGAGGTGGTGCGGAGGAGGCACCGTGGGGGACTGGGTGAAGGCCACCTACATACTTAAGATGAGTCACACAGCTGAAGGAGTGAGGGGGGGCTGGTGGTCACGTCCAGCCCCCTCAGGCCTGCCATAACCTCCACCACCCACCTCCCTCTTACCGCCTCCAGCTGCTGTGCCCACCTGACGGACACCTAAAATGTCAGAGGTCAAACTAATCAAACCACACCGACTGGTCTTATACATGACGAAGACCGGATAATAGAGCTCTACCTTGTGACTTTAAGGTCGTCCACACACACACACACACACACAGAGGTTGAGAGCGTAACAAGGTGATTTACGGCTCACTAGTGTGTGACCCAGACCTTGACGGTACAAATATCACCAGAGATTGGCGGGTCAGTATTGTGTCTGCACCCCCCTGGATCCTCAACCCAGCCACACCATCTGTCAACCCAGTCACACCATCTGTCAACCCAGTCACACCATCTGTCAACCCAGTCACATCATCTGTCAACCCAGTCACACCATCTGTCAACCCAGTCACACCATCTGTCAACCCAGTCACACCATCTGTCAACCCAGTCACACCATCTGTCAACCCAGCCACACCATCTGTCAACCACACCCTATAATCAATTAAGTCACACCTTCCTACCACTGACCTAGGTCTTACCGTTTAATGACTGGTCCACTACCTCGACACCTGGTTGACCATTCTATAATATAATGGACACACACACACACACACACACACACACACACACACACACACACACACACACACCGGCATTTTTAGATTGATCAGCGTGCCCCATACCGCCGGAGCACCATACACCTGTCAGAGCACCATACACCTGTCCCATACACCTGTCAAGTGCACACTTACCAGACTATCAATCAAACAATGTCAGTCCTTCACACCTGTCGGTATCATATACACCAATCACAGTAATTAGTGTATAGGGGAAGCCAGACAGGTAAGACTCCACCTGTTCATTACTATCACTCCACACACACACACACACCCCTTGTTATCACGCTACATGTTTTAGTTTTTTTTACCGCTATATGTGTTTATAAATCACACCTCGCTATATATCCATCGTCACACACCGCTACTCCCGCTACTTGCTACATTCATCCCACCACCACACACACACACAAGAACCTTCAAACACCATTTACAAAGCCGTCCCCCCCACCACTCCCTCCCGCCACCCACCCACCCGCTAACACCTTCCTCACACCGGTCCACCAACAGATTACACGGGGTGGACACGTCAGAAGGCCTTGCACCAGGTGGGTCACGGGGTAGAGGTGGTGGTGGTTCTTCCTCCTCCTCTTCCTCCTGGCTTCTAAGGTCACACTGAACTGTATATGGTGAAGAGGTGAGTCATGCCCTACAGTCGTCACACCTGTCCATAACTGGTGTGGTGATTAGCTCGGGGAGGGGGGGAATACAAGACCGATAACACACACACACACACACACACACACACACACACACACACACACACACACACACACACACACACACACGACTCAACACTATATATACGAATAATGAGAAACAGAGGCAGGTGTGTGTGTGTGTGTGTGTGTGTGTGTGTGTGTGTGTGTGTGTGTGTGTGTGTGTATAAAAAAAAACTTAGAATATTACCACATCCCCTTAGGCTCAAGCACCACCACCACACATACCCTCTGACCCTCCCACCACACTCACTGATTCTCCCACACACCCACTGACCCCCCACACACCCACTGACTCCCTCCCACACACACTGACCCCTCCCACACACCCACTGACTCCCCCTCCCACACCACTGACCCTCCCACACACCCACTGACTCCCTCCCACACACCCGGTGACCCTCCCACCACACCCACTGACCCCTCCCACACACCCACTGACCCTCCCACACACCCACTAACATTGTGATATATCCTCGCCACTTTAATACCGGTGATGACGTGTGGCTCGAGGGAGTTTTACCTGCTCACTGACACAAGGACCCGGGGACCCTTGCTTTTTCATGGAGGAGTTTTTGTTTATATGACGAACAAACTCATATGAAATGTCAACTCGACCCGGGGATGTTATGACTTAATATTGTGTTTGTTGTAGGTCTCTCTCTCTCTCTCTCTCTCTCTCTCTCTCTCTCTCTCTCTCTCTCTCTCTCTCAGTGGGATAGAAAACCTGACCTGACGTTATCCACTGTCTGGTTCTCACGGCTGGTGGAGGTGAACATCGAACCATATCCTTATTAGTTCTCACCAGTAGCCGCCCCGCCACCCACCCCAACCCACCCCGCTCCGTCCCACACCCCCACACTAGCTCAGACCCTCCCCTCCCCCAACTTGTCTAGCTTTCCCACACCCCAATATTGTCAGTTCCCTCCCACACTATACCCTGTCTCTATCTCGTTCCCTATCCCCCCCCACATGATCCTCTACCCCACCCCCCACATCCCTACAGTAAGGTGGGGGGTGGGTAGGGGGTGGCGGTAGCTTATCTCGGGTCACCGCTAATGATAAATGACCCAGAAAGGTCACGAAAGAAATACCAGCAGTGTCATACTTTATCATAAGGCGGCCTAACTATCACTCACACCGCCAGGGGGAGTCATTCGTGTGGAACCGGGAGTGTACAGCTGTGTGTGTGTGGAGGGGGGGGAGGAGGGAGGGGTAGGTGGCTCTTATCGGGTATGTTATCAGTAGAGGTAACAGTAGTCAAGATTGTATGTGGAAGTGCGATATCAACAGCTCTAACCATACAAAGACTACCTGAGCCTGCACGTGTATAATTGTTATTCATCTCCCCATTACTGTACATTATTCATAACTCATTCATCACTTCAGTTGTTCAGCTTCATCATAGATCTTGGTGGGTACGACAACCATACACTTGTTCTGGTCGTCAACCAAACCTTCCCGACCATCACTTACGACTCACGGCAGGAACTGGGCGACCCTCCAGCACGACCTTCTAACTCATCCATGTTAAATTTCCCCCTCACGTGATCCCCTTACAACCCCAGCCGCCCCGTGAGACACCTCATCTCCCACGCACCAGTAACATACCGCTTTGTGATGCTGAACAACGTCTCATCCACCGCTGATTCTTACCTCTACACAAATATTTATACCCGTTACCAGCATAGTTGGAGGTGAAGCCAAGAGCCACCCAGAAGGGCCCCAGCCAGCCAGCCGGTTGATGGCCAGCACCTGGAGCTCCACACGACAGCCCTCACTGCCCACACCTACGGTCATCACCACCAAGTTGAAAATATATTTAAAACTGACCTGAATACGACAGAGAGAGGGAGAAGTAACTTACAAAAGGCCTAGGAAGGGAGTGAGGGGCGGGGCAGCAAGAACTCCCGGGCAGCCCAGACAACACTCGTGAGGCAACAAAAACTTACCCTGCGGGACTCCTCTCACGCCAGGGCTAACGAGGTCGTCACGACCCGCCCACTCTACCTCCGCCCTCTAAGCTCTCGCCACGCTCTGATCGACAACTTAAGCACGCACACGTATATTGGGCAAAACCGTCCCAAGAGTCCCACCAGAAGAACCCATAAATTGTCCCTCTGCATACCAACGTTTCCCAGCAGCGCCGAAAAAGGCAAAGCCCTATATTGCCCCTCTTCTGATTTCACACCAGCTTGCCCTCGTAATACCCTACAAATATCTCTATACTGCCCCTCTTTGTAACAACCTACCCTGGCAGTGGCCCTGTACTGCCCTGATGCCTACCTCGCGCTTTTTTCATTGACCAACTGTGCATTAGATCTCCCCCGCAGAAGTGTCACTGTACGAGTCAGTGCCCTTTAACCTGTGCTCAGGCAGCAACATTCGTTAACGCCTCACTACACAGCAGCTCCCCCACAAGGTTTCAGTAAGTGGGGTAGAAGCTGGACCAAACTCGGCGGCTGGAAATCACGGGCAACAGAAACCGGTCGTGTGGGCCCCGTGACTCACAGCCACCAAGGGAACAACAATGACCTGGACGGGGCAACACAAGCCTCTACCCCCACAGGATGCACGGCTGTTATTCCTGCCAATATATCCTTCGCCGGAGAGCCTGGTTGATCGCCACAAGAGCACCAGCTTTACAATAACACGAGAAAAAAACACGTGAAGAAGTCAGGATTCA